CCCCAGCCTGTAGGTATGCTGCTGGTTCTTCCTCCCCGGGTGCAGTACCTTGCACTTGTCAGTGTTGAAACCCATCCTGTTCTCATCCGCCCACCTCTGTAACCTGTCTAGGTCCAATTGCAGCCTATTCCTCCCTTCTGGTGTGCCCACTTCTCCCCACACCTTAGTGTCGTCTGCAAATTTGAACAGGGTGCTTTTTACACCCTCGTCCAAGTTACTGATGAAGATGTTGAACAGTGCAGGCCCAAGGACTGAGCCCTGCGGAACCCCACTGCCCGCATCCCTCCAAGTCGAAAATGACCCGTCCACCACCACTCTCTGGGTGCAGCCCTCCAGCCAACTAGTGACCCATTTGACCCAGGTGTTGACACCACAGTCCCCTAGTTTTTTAATGAGAGTGGGGTGAGACACAGTGTCGAAGGCCTTCCTAAAGTCCAGAAAGACCACGTCTACTGCTACACCTGTGTCTAAGGATTTTGTGACCTGGTCATAGAAGGCCACCAGGTTGGTCTGACAGGACTTGCCTCTAATAAACCTGTGTTGGTTGCCCCTAAGCATAATCTCCCCTGCTGGTCCCTCGCGGACATGCGTCAGGATAACTCTCTCAAAAAGCTTACCTAGGACCGAGGTAAGACTGACTGGCGTATAGTTTCCTGGGTCCTCCTTCCTCCCTTTTTTGAAAATGGGAACCACATTGGCCCTTTTCCAGTCCTCTGGCACCACACCAGAGCACCATGAGTGCTTGTAAAGCCATGCCAGGTGTCCCACTATGACCTCTGCTAATTCCCTCAGCACTCTGGGGTGGAGATTGCCAGGACCTGCTGATTTAAATATGTCCAGTCCCTCCAGAAGTTCCCTGACTAGGTCCTCACTGACCCTAGGCCTGGGTGCACCTCCCCTGGGACCTACAGGGGTCCCGGGGGGGTGGGGGAGGGTGACCCGGTCCTTGCTCAGAAAAATGGAGGCAAAGAAATGATGATGACCCAAGTTGCAGTCCTCCTGCACCCCAGGATGCAGTGTCCCCTCCTCTACCTTCTTGTTCTGTGTGGACAAACTTTCCATCCCCTGAACTTTTACTGCCCAGGGGATTGTTATGGCACCAAGCCAATTTCCCCTCCCACACCTAGGAGTGTAACCTTCCCACACCCAGAGGTGCCACCCTAAGCAAACAGCCTTCAGAGCACATGACAGCTATCCAGGTTGTAGGGCATGGTTGGGGACAGGAGTAGGGTCTAGGAAAGGTGAGGAGGAGAGGCAAATAAGGTAGGGGGCCAGATTGGGTCCCCATGAACTGAGGCTTCCTTCCTGGGGCAAGGGCAAAAGCTCCTCAGAAAATGCCTTCCCTCACTACCAATGTTCCCTCTAAGGAGTAGCGGTCCATAAGTGCGCTGCTTCGGTCCCGCCTCCTCCTTTTGGCATGGTCCGCTGGTAAGTGTCCGGCAGTAAGTGTCCAGATGGGAGTGGGCAGGGTTTGGCCCTATGTGGAGCTCTGTGGGCCCCATCTACTACCCTTCTCCATGCTAGCTGCTGCCCAGAGCAGCACAGTGGAGTGCTGTGGGGCAGTCATAGGCTGGACACAGTCAGTTTGTAAAATTGATACTGTGGCCCAGCCATGGGTCAAACGCAATCAATTGATAGAACTGGAAGGGAGGGACTGGAGCTGGCACAGGACACTTACCGAAGGTAATCTCCTCAGCCCTCGTGTGGGGCAGGCAGTGGCTCCTCCCTGAGGCAGGGACAGGGGCTGGTGCGGGCTCCGCCAGCTCTGGGGCACTGCTCCATTCCCCAGCTGATGCCGTGTCCCTCCTTGCTCCCCAAAGTGATGCAGGGGTAGGGAGCAGTTCCCAGGAGCCAGCAGAGTCCACAAAGCAGTTCCCTGGAGACGGTGGAGCCCACGCTAGCCCCTAGCCCCTGTCTCCGCCTTGCCATGCCTCTAAGAACGAGGAGGCACATGGTGTTGGGGCTGGGAAGTGAAGCAGTTCCCCGCGCCAGGCCCCATCCCCAGCTCCCATCCCCACCTTGCCTCCAGGAGCACATGGCCTTGGGGAGGAGCCGCTGCCTGAGCTTACCTCCGGTAAGTGTCCTGTGCTGGCCCTGCTGCTTCCGCTGTGCTCTGCACCCAGCTCGTTGTCCAGCTCCTCTCGGGGAAGCCGCAGCCGTCTCTGGGTGGGTGCGCAGTACTAATAAATTTGTGTACATACTGTTTTAAAGTGTGCATGGCCACACAAGTGCGCAGCTTGGAGGGAATCTTGCTTAATACCCCCAGGAAGAATGACCAGCACCCCCCATACTCAAATACCAAATCCCAGTTTATTAAAACATGAGGCCTTCTTCAATGTACTTCCTCTTTATTTCTTGTTAAATTCTAAACCACCGCCACAACCTAAAGCAGGGATAGAAGCCTATTTTGGCTCAACAGCCATGTAGTGGCAAGTCACAGCTGTAGCTCCTAGTCAGGCCCCTGCTCACCAGCTCTCTAGTGGAAAATTGCAGCTGTGCAGGTTGGGGACCATCAAAGAAGGTTTTTAGCCTTTAGGCCTAAGTACAGACAGTCAAAAAGCCTGAAGCTGAATCGATTCAGTCTTTGTGGGTTAGTCTAAATTGCACAGATTAAATTGAAACAGAAATTAACAGACATTTCCCTCGGATTCAGGAAATGCAAGTACATGCCTGCAGTGGCTTAGGCCAGAAGCCAGAGGGTGCTAGAGCCAAAAAAAAAAAAAAGTGAAAATTAAGAGCTGGCATTTTCCAAAGAGCATCCAGGGGTGCCCTGAGTCTAAAAAGTTTGAGACTGCTGGCATAAAAAAAGCAAACTCCATCCCACCTTGTTTACTTTAAAGGAATGTAACAGAAGCAAAGATACTTTTGCATCTTCTTACACTAGATGCTAACAGACAAGCATTTTAATAATAATTTATTAATAATAACAGCTATTTAATTAGTTTTATTTTAATAGCCGCAGGATTGTAGTGATGAAGGCCACTGGTACAATATTTCATTTGCATCTTGTGTCTACTGTACCTATCAGTAGCTTCCATAGTTGGATTTTAATTTTCTATTCTAATTTTTGTTAGAAAAATATTGTGCTTAATTGGATGTCAGGAAGGAGGGAAAATATTAATCATTTTTAAAAGTATATTTAATATACAACCGCTTGGAAATGGCTAATTCCACATATTTTTCTTTAAATTATATTCAAGCTACCCAAAGCAGTTATTGTAATGTATTTCATATTAAGCAAATGTAAACTGTGTAGATCCCAAATCACCTACATTCAGATATAAATTTAGAGCAAAGAGCTGAAGTCATGGAGCTGAAGCTCCATGAGATGAGTAAGAAAAGAGTTGTGGGGCTTGGTCCCTCCATTTTTACTGACCTGCCTATATATTCAAACATGTATTTAGAGCATCTTAGTTGACAAGAATATAAAGGGGGATCCATTTGACATAGTATATTTGGGCTTTCAAAAAGCATTTGTCAAGGTCCCTTCAGGGTTTAAAAAAACAAAATACTACCCCCCTTCCCACCTGCTTTGCTGTGGGATTGAAAGGAAGGTTTTTTAGTGAACTGAGAGCTGGTTAAAAGATGGGAAGCAAAGCTAAATGACAGGCAGTGACAGGCAATCTAGGAAGTTTTTGGAGAGTACTGGGGACAACTTCTGGTGCAGGTGTTGGAGAGGCCAACTAGGGGCCATGCTCTTCTTGACCTGCTGATCACACATAGGGAAGACTTGGTGGAGAACGTAAAAATGGGTGGCAACCTGGGCAGGAGGCCCCACAGGATGATTGAGTTCAGGATCTGGAGGGTAGGAAGGAAGCAGAACAGCAGACTAAGGACTTCAGAAAAGCAGACTTTGACTCACTCAGGGAACTGATGGGTAGGAAATTCCGGGAGGCCAGTCTGAGGGGGAAAGGAGTCCAGGAGAGCTGGTTGTATTTTAAAGAAACCTTACTGAGGGGGCAGGAACAAAACCATCCTGATGTGCAGGAAGACTAGCAAGTATGACAGAAGACTTGGGCCCCCCATTACAGAAGGTTTTAAAGATCCAGCTAGAGAAAGCTGTGGGTGGGATGATCTAGTTGGGGATGGTCACATTTTGAGCAGGAGGTTGGAGTAGGTAACCTCCTGAGGTCCCTTCCAATCCTAATTTTCTATAATTCTGTGACACATGAATCTGCATCTAGAACTCAATGAACTTTCTCTGCATAAGTAACAAAACCAAGCAGTTGGACAGTTGTACCAACTGTAGTTTCATTGGTAGCTTCATGAATTTATGGACTTTAAACTGAATTGCTGTAATGCAATGAAACTGATAACTGATACTGTCAACATTTTAGGTAATCTGACATAACCAACTTTTTGGGTAGTGACGCCAGTCAATTTGGAAGCACTTCAAATTCTAGGCGTCTGTCCTTGAAATTAAACAACCTAAATAATAGTTAAGCAGCTCTCTCCCTTCGTCAACCATTTAAATGCTTTCACTATTTTTCCCTAGTTCCCTATATTGCAGCCTACTCAGTTTTCTCTTATCTTGATCCCTGTCATTGTAAAAGTAGATGCTATGTGATTCAGGTTTGATAAGGGGAATGGGGGAAGTGGAGAGACCCTCTACTTTCTTCTATTATATAAAAGAGAAGATGTTGTTTTGGGGATTTTGTTTTTTTCTTACAAAGCTTCACTACTTTCAGTCTGGCAACCTGTAATTCTGCTTGATAAACCATGAGCTTGGTTTCAGATCTGATGTCTTGATCTTTGAACACCCGCTTTTTCATGTGTCCAAAGGCTGCGCTTGTACATTTCACAGTGTTGGATTTCTTCTTTAATGTCAGCCTTCTGAGAGTGTTGACTTCTGAGATTGGAAAATGTTGAGTATTTCCCATGAGTCTCACCATGAATCTGGATTACCTGAGCTGTGAACTGTTCATTAGGAGCTTGATGGTGGAGGACCTTACTCTTCTGAATGTTAAACATCAATCGTATTTTCTTCTATTCCTTGGTAGAGATGTCAGTGATTACCTGATGGTGTGCTTCCTAGTGAGCACAGACTACAGCATCATAAGTGTACTGGAGCTCAATGATGGAGGCCAGGGTGGGTCTTGGCTTTGACTTGAAATCGGCTGAAGTTAAACTACTTAACATCCAATAGGTAATTTAGCTTCCCTTCAGCTGGAGCTTGTTGGTGGGCAGATGTAGTATCGCGGCAAGGAATATTGAGAAGTGTTGGAGTAATGATGCAGCCTTGTTTAACTCCAGTCTTAACCTCCAAAGGGCGTGTCCAGACGAACCTGCACATGCCTCTTGCAGCATCTCAAACCCCTTTGAGACACTGCAAGAGGCATGTGCAGGAACAGGAAAAGGTTCCTCCTGCCCGT